TCCAGGTACCATCTCAATCCGGAAGATTTTCCACACTCTGTAAATGAGCGAAGAAACAGTGGTTTTTTGAAATTCTTTGGGTCGTGCGCTCGATGCGCAGTTCGACATGAATTTTTTGATAAAATACTTCTCCCAAAGTAGGTTTTCGCCCCTCATCGAATCAATGTCGATAAAAAGATTTTGCAAACGGCAAATTGTGGAAGTGGTTCAAGTGTAGAATCCCGCAATGGCGTAGGAGCAATTTTTATTTCTCACTATTGTTGGGCTAACCTCATTATGTAACGTAATTTTGTATTCTCTAGTGGATGAACCCGGGGGACGTGCATTGAGGGAACGTGCTGGAGGATCCGATATTCAGAGTGCCTCATTCTTATGTGATGCATATTTTTCTCTAGTCAGCATAATATCCGCGACGTCCCTAGACATTCATTTCGTTTTTTTTTCTTTCATTATCTGATGCAGACGTCGCAAAATTCTGCTGATTCAATCCTATCATTTAGTTGTTAGATTAATCATATTATGTGTCATTTTTATTCTTGTTCCTTCTTCTAATCTCGACTCAGCGGTATCCGATAACCCCGTAGTGCTCCTCAAACCGTCAGGTTCATTTCAGTAGGGCCAAGACACAATTATTTGGTGCACTAATATAGACGTTATATTATATTCTGTTGAATAGTATGTGTTCCAGCTGAAACTAGTCACTCCGTTTATCTCCGAAGTCGTTGAAAAAATTGAAAATTGCTCGGTATTTATAATATTCCAAAGTTTAAACCTTGAATCTTAACGAGCATCAACTTTCAATTTTCAAATGGGACGGTTAGTGGTTATGATCACAAATCGAACAATACCAAATATGGAGAAAGACTCGAGAAACCGCGTTACTCTAACTATAAAAAATTACAAATATATGCCAGAAGTGATTTTGATAATGCCCGTCCTACTGATTCAAGCAATTGAGAGGTATCGAATTCAAGAAAAATCTTGATTTGATGTTCATGCTATTTATGATTAGTTTCTATGACTTGTACAAATTAGTTATGTTATGTCCGCAACTTTTGATATATATACATACGTGTTTACGTTTTTTTTCACCACTAGCTATAAAACCTACCATTATTCACTCATTTTCGAGGCGTAAAGGGTGTTTTTACTATCAAGGTAGTTTTCGTCATTTCATGAACCACTAGTCAATAAGGACATAGCCACCTCTGTTATAATTAACCTGAATTCACTGTTCTGATTCGGGATTCGCAGAAATGTCACTCGCATCTAATTGAAATCTAGTAGCCATGACCGTGACAGGATATGACAAGTTGTTATATGCTGTCATGCGGTCATGGCTACTAGATTTCAATCAGAATTGAAAAGAAGTGCTTTCATAGTGACACTAGGTCTGAATCTCAGTTTCACGAAATTATAATGATGGAAATATATTGCTAGTGGTAAAAAAAATTCAATATACACCTTGGTAGTGAAGAATATTATTACTGCGGGACCTTATACTCCTCGGCTGAAGCCTTAGGATATAATCTTGGTCCATGGGTAATACTGATATACTTTACTACCTTGATGTATGAATAACTAGTATTCATCTAATTTATTATTATTAATCTACAACTATGGATTAATTCATACATTGCTAACTCGATTTTCAACATTTAATGACAGATATTATTGTGATGAATAGAGTAATAAGAGAAATAATGACAGTAGGATGGCGTAATAATCAGACATCCCATCGTCTTCTGATGATGATGATGATGAGGTTATCTCGAACGGCTACGGAGATATAATAGCTGATTGATTTTTCAACTAGCTCCGGTAACTCCGCCAGCAGAAATTTCTGGGTCACACTCATGGTGTGTATTGAGTCTTGTTTCCGAGGTGACTACTGAAATGTTACAAAGTATTGAATTCTGGTGATCGCAAGATAGGTATTACTTTCAGTTCTCTTGAAATAACATTCGGTGATTTCACACCACACTGTTTTTATACTTTGCAACTTTGATGAAGTCATTATGACATTCAAATGCGTATCGAAACAGCTTCTATTAGGACACGCTGAATTTCTTCTTTCAAAGTAGGTAACGTCAAACTGTCAGACACTATTGACACAAAGTTTTGTTTGATTAGAGAATCTACATTCAAATGTTCATTTCATTCCATTGTTATATATTCTTTTTCTATTATTTGAAGTTTTTGTTAATGAAATAAAAATTACGGAGTACAAATGAATGTGAAATTGAAAAAATTGGATATTTCACATGTCTCATAAGACATATTGTCGCACTAGCTTTTTTGGTAAACTACTCGCTTCTCTCTTCGTACTCCAGACAAGGCATGGGACAAAATAGTGTTTTATAAAACTTGTAGAATGATAATATACTATTTACCACTAACCGAACCGATTCTTCAACATCTCGACACGTGTTTCGTGTTTCGCTAACGACGTTCAGGGCTAGATTGAAACTGTTTTGATTTGTAGTGTATGTTCCAGTTTTCGATTTATCCGATGATTGATCGACAGCTCCAACGTTTTACATTTTTGATAGACGGCTTCGACGTTTTCAATTCTTGGTGTAAAATAATTCGTTCCAGGAAAGCGCGTTCGAAAAGCTTAAGACAGTAAAACGACCCGGAAAAACGAAGTAGGGCCTAATTCGGAGAAAAACGATGACTGAGAAGGTGAAGTTCCGTCCCAACAAAAACACGGTCGGTGTTTATGTAAGGCGGGTCTCTTCTCTCTGTTTGCACTCCCCTACAGATCCCCTCATTCCGTACACCGAAAGTGGTTAGAACAATTATACCTCGTCTTGTTTTCTCTTTTTCACTGATTCAGTGTTGTATAGGGAGCAGTATAGAACTTTTTTTGACGATATATATATATAGTTATAGCAAAACTTATAAGTTTTCATTCGATCGTACACTTTTCCTGGAGAGTCGTAAAGATCCTGAACAGTTTACTGTTGTATCCTTTCTTCTCCGTTATTTACTATTCACTTCTTCCGGTTTACTATTTGGCGAGACAATTGATTTTGTATCCTTCAAATCGGATTAGGATACTGTCTGTTATAACTCAAAATATTCTGAATATGTGAAAACACGCCCATCACACTTGTTTTTCTTGATGCCAGCACACTATTACATACATTGATGCTGGATGCTCAAAAGTTCCCTCCCCTATACACAAATTCGAAATTTTGACAATTACAAAAACGTCGAATTAGAGAGACTAACAAAAACGTCAGATTATTTGATAACTATTCAGCGACGGTGCTTGAATTTTGAATTTTAGTATTACCTGATTTGATTCATCACAGCTTTGCGTTTTGAAAAAGCTAGTTGCCAATTTTGCCACAAATACGAACAAAATTTGTATTATTGAATAGGTTTTTTCGATACCTTTCAAAAGAGGGGTCGCTTGCCGTAGGGTTTCATTTGAAATTGTTAGTCACAATGGCCTTGTGACGTCATCTTTTACGATTTCGTCATCTATCATCACTAGTAGGGAAGTTTACAACCTTCAATATTCAGTTTCCAAATTCCACTTGTTTATGCACAATCGTTCAAAGATAAGAGGGGGGAAGCACAGTATAGAAGTAGTTTGTTGGTTTCGTCTTGAAGTTGTGACACTATTCTTCCCATCGTATCGGTCTGTTCGATCTATATGAAAGAATTTATTCGACAATAGCAGATCTAGATGTACATCAGTGATCGATCCATTTGAGATTTTCATGAATTTTTTTAGTCGCAGGATCCCTTCATCCATTGAGTATGCCAATTGACCTAATGGCAAATTAATAAACACGTGCATGTAAGGTTGGGTGCGGGGTCCGGCGAATCGATTTGAATTGCATCATTTCACTGTGCCAATATTCGATGTTTCAATATCAGTTTGTCTCTCCCATCTGATACACAATGCAGACAATTCGTGTCCCAATGTTTCATTAAATACGGCGGGAATCAAAATGTCCAATTTTTTTTTATATTGACAGTATGGTTTTGATTTTATATAATAATGGTGAAGTTGGCTATTTTCTGATATCGTCCTTTCTTCGAATACGTTTCACTGACAAACAGCCATACCATCGATACGCCCGAAACAAAAATTGAAGGAAAATTATTCGATTTGTGGTGGGTATGAGATGGTCAAAACGTGAATGAGATTGTTCGTTTTTTCTACTCATTGGGTGCGACTGTAATTCGAACGAAATAATCAATGGCAAATATCGGAAATCAGAATGCACGGCACGTATTAGAGATTTTATTTCCAGGGTAGAATTATATTCTGCTCACGACCAGCATTCGTCGTCTTGCAAATGTCCAGTTTTTCGCGATTATGTCTAACAAGGAAAGGAAATGTGCTCTTTCCATGATGCAGACAAAGAGTCACATTCCAACCTCAGCTTTACTATCATTATTTTTTCGAATAGAATGTTTTATATTAAACAGGGGTAATTTAATTGATGGCTGAAAATGTAGGATGTGGTTCCGCGGCTAATTATTAGATGAAAAGTTCATGTGAACATATACCCTATTGAATTTCGAGCTATAGGGTATCAAAATTTTGAGATAAATTTAGTTTTCTTATCATAATGTCAGTACTGTTCTTGATATTTTCATGAGATTTGACAGGCAGTTATGTTTAAGAGCGCAGGAGCATTGCTATTCACTGAAGTGAATGAAAAGCTGACGAAATATATTTGATTTTGAAACAAGCTACCTGCTCTTGGATCAAGTAACTTATTCTACTGATTGAAGAATGTCCAATCAACATGGATGGAAAGAAACAAGTGACCGTGGAAGGAGACGCCATCGAACTATTTGTATTTCTTTTCAATCATGATTTCCATTTAATAACACAGCGATGAAAACCTTCCTATTCAATGTGATTCGGTTTTTCTTCAAACTTCATTATGAGAATATAGGTAACTGATTTATTATTAAAATGCAAAAAACTTGAATACATATACCTACTTACCTCGTTACCATTTACATACCTCCAAATTCCAACAAGTGAGGCAGCCTCAGACTTGAACATCAGAGATGTTGCTAGTTGATGGAACCACCTTTGTGAGTTGACAAATTGATTATAAACGATCCACGAATACACACAATATCAGAAACCTCACAAAATATTATGCAGTAATGATAAGTTTATCGGATATTTTGTTTCGAGTAGCAAGAGTTGAATAATTGCAGGATGAGACAATGTTTCTGTGGCAAGAGAAAATAATCGCAATTGAAAGAAATTCATTTCAGAGAAATTTCAGAAAATTGATTTCTCAAAACAAAGAAATGTTTCCCCATGCAAGATAGTCACTCTCTGTATAAAAAAATGTATATCAAGATCACAGAATACCTTGACTCACAACTCAGTATGGGTAATCCGCTGGGCGCATCTATTCATTATAACGCCATGTATTTCATCTACTCCTATATTGATATTTATACAACGAATCAGCACAGCCGATTAGCCGCCGGTCTATTACGTTCCATCGGAGCGTTGCCAAGAGTGTTCAACAGATGTAGTTCAATATTCTGCTAAATGACAATAAATAATATACGTGTAATATCTCGATAGGGACAAGGACAAGGGACAGAGCAGAGTATGTGCCGTCATCATGGCCCGTGACAATGCCCAAAAGCACCTATTAGTATTTCGTATAATCGAAATCGAGCGGTGAAATCGGTGTGACCGTGCATCAACCACCCACCCGGCCAAAAATCAGGATTCACTCATCAATAATTATTATATGCAATCTCGCACACGACGGAAATATGTTGGGGAAGTTGTAATTAATAGAGGATCCTCGATAAACGGTATGGCTGCCATCTGGGAGAAGAGGAACTTGTAACTGGATAGAGTTTCGCTGCCTTCTTTCTTCAACTTTTCCAACTTATATTCTTGCAAGTTAATAAAAACTTCCAGAATAGTTCCAGACACTATATCAAGGGAATATATTGGAACAAAATATTAAATGAATATTTTTCAACTTTCTGAATTAATCTTGTAATTAATGAACAATAAATGCGGTTATACCGTTTCGAAGAAATAATCCATCCTCATTACCCACATGGGTGATAGCTCGAATTTTACCAGGCATGACGCGTAATTATATTAGGTCTTCGTGATAGTCATACCGCTAAAAAGTATTAAAAATCGGGAAAAATGTATTTGGTCTCTGAATGTTCTTTGAGTCATTATTGGAGGAAACAGATTCATATTTTATTGTTATGAGAATCAGATTTGGATTATTTGATCCCCAACATGATGAGTTATTATATTATACAACTCTCTAATGCAGTGAAATTCATTTCTTCTTCAAAGATCAATTTCTTCTGATTCCCTTATTGCAATGACACTGGACGTACTCACAATAATTAACACTTCATAGTGCTATATATATGATATATAGTTTGGACTTTGGATACACCTTCATAACTTGTGACTTATCAGACTATCAGACACTCTACGTATTCGATTATTAGTTCCGGTTGCGGTCTTAAAAACAACGACAATCAAGTAAATGCCGACATATCAGCATATATACACTGCAATTTGATAATTGTTTTTATCTTTCAAATCCCTCTTTTCTTCCACGATTATTTTGCATTATTCTTGTCCATCATAATATGTTGGAAATGGTTGACATTAGTTGATGATGGCTTTTGTATGAACAAGCCTCTACACAGTGATCTTTTTGAATCAAGATAGCTGTCTTTCTTGATTCATCATGAAAAATGATGCGAACGGAATGCAATAGAAATTCTTAGTATGCATAATGGGCACTCTACCAGCTAGAATTACTATAGGAATCAATAACTCCAGAAAATCAAAGTAATAAATTCAGTTCAAATTCAAAGATCTCTTGGAGCGCACAAAAGGAAATTCCTATGATGTTCAAAGAACATCGTGTCTACCTAAGAAGGATAGAGAAAGGAGGTAGATGTTTTACTTTTTTTTGTTGTTTTACATATTTCAAGTTTGACAACGAAAAGATGTACTGACTGAATGAAATGGTTCGCTGATGACTCTTTCATGCCTAAACTTCTCTATAATTTGAACACTAAATACATGTACTTACTTATATGCTCTGCTCGTGCCGTGTATACATTGAGGTTGACAAAGCTCATAAAATATATCCCACCATCAACACAGATATTCTTCAAACGCGTATTCAATTACCATTTGTATGCATTGAGTGCAAAATTAAAATTTATGTACATTTATCACATACAACTGGATATCTTTCGGAAGGGAAATATAATGGTTTCATTGATATACCGACTATTGTCTATTGTTAATTTTCATTTTATTCATTCGATGTTATCGTTAGGAAAAAAATCCAATTAATGTATATGTATATGTATAATCGGTATGTCCAATCAATCGTTGCATGAAACCAAGAGTTATGTTGTGTCGTTGAATCGATATAACTGGGTGTGATGATTTTCGCATCATCACCTCGACTTTCACCCCCAAAAATTCAAGCAGTAGGCTTTGTTTATAATTTTTCAAAAAATATATCACTTCGATTTGAAGTGAAATTATCCGATTCAACAAGGAATTATATCAAATGAAAAGTGTTATAGTATAAATGAGAACATATTATAATAAATCTCTGGTATTTGCAGTGATTGTTGGTTCATACAACATCTGACGAAACGAGACTGGAAATGGTCAATTCATCTTGAGTACCTATATCAGAGTGAAATTTATCGATCTTCATTGTTATATCTGAGTGGTAATACCTATTAGGACATTTTTCCGAATACTTTGGCACATTTTCGATGTCGACAAGGACGACATATGAAGGCTCACCGGTTTGTGGAATAAATCGTTTTCTATTTTGATTCATCCTCACTTTTACCATTTCGAGCTCTCCCTTCGATAGATTTTATCTTATTTCCGGACACGTCCACATCACGTGGAACTGATTAACATTTCCCAGTTTTCTATTATGTTTCCTTTGGGAGCGCGTGTGGCAGTGTCGCATTCGAAATGATATGGTGGCTGGCGGCCTGATATGCTGGCTTTCAATGAGAAATGGACTGAATTCATTTTCCTCGACTTCCCGGCATACATCAATCAGTTTGTCAGTTTCACTTTTATATTCAAAGTTTTCGCGATATTATTTTCAGTAAATAACCTCGTATTATTCCGAGAGGATACAGGGTGAGTCATAACTATTGGGACATAGCCTAAGGGCGGATTGTTAGAATGAAAATATGGCGAAAGGACCGAATATTCCTTAATAATGATTGCTCTGGAAAAGATACAGGGCGTTAGAGTTGAATATTTTTTTTTCGTTTTTGCTAATAATTCCACTGTATATTTATCAATTGTTATCAGAATTATTATTCTACAGTTTGTTACAGGGGCCTCACGTGAATAATTCCTGATGATGAAATCGACTGATAAATCATTTTGACGAAACAATTTTAGTGATTTTGATTGAAAACTATGACATAAACATCATTTCTACAAAATATTGGTACTCTTGTTCAAAACTACATCTTCATCCGTTTTCCAGAAAAAGGCAACAGTTGAAGTCTCTGAAGGGGGTTTCACATATTATTTCATTTATGAAGAGTGTGAATGAACTTTGGTGGGAGTTCATAGTCAACACTTTTTCCGGCCTGTACATTTTTCCACAGCAATATTTTATTGAGGCATATTTGGTCCTTTCGCCATATCCTGATCCAAACAATCTACCCTTTGCCTATGTCCCAATAGTTATGACTCACCCTGTATATACTCGTCATAATATACTCGTCTTTGAATACATGAAAAATTCACGGGAACAATTTCAGAAAGCTGGAGGGTTCGTTTCCGTTTTAATTTCATCCATTTAAAATAAAGAGTCCTTTTCGTTTTCACTTCCTTATTGAAAAGTTTTTCTGCTAATCACCTTATGAATATTTTACGGCCGCCGCTTCACCATCTCCTCAGAGGTTTCGAGTGACATAAGCCGTTATACGTAGGTATTCATAAATCTATTGCTCTTTGCCGACTTGTTCCTCCACGTAATCAACTATCTAAATTAATTGCCGGGCGCAAATAGTGAAGTTTTTTGAATTTTTTCAGATTTCAGTCATAAAAATAGAAATAACTTTCGCGATGCTCGTTTATGAATATTCTTTTCCTCTTCTGATATTATGAAATAAGTATCGGTGATCGAATCAATGATATTCACAAGAGTTTCCCAAACAATATTATCGAAAAGAGTTACTGGAAATCATTTGGATACCTTGATTCAAAATCTCGAATGTTTTACAAAATATTGGAATATAGTTTTTTTTTTATGTTCTGTAGTACTCCTGCGTATCCTATACAGGGAGGTCTGTACAAAATCTTAGCACATATTCATTCCTGGGGTCGATATAAGCCGATTTAATGCAACTCACCACCGTCCGAAATCAAATATTCCGGTGCTGCATGGAACATTAAAAACAGAAATATCTCGAAATCGGCTATCTTCAGCGGATTCTCACAAGAGTATCTTTTTTGCTTAAAAATGTTCAGAAAATTATTTCCTCAACAAATGAAGTGAAGAACTACACTGACAAAAAAGTTGTGGTCATTCTAAACCATCAGAAGTGCATTGAAATCCACCCTGTCATGGTCACAGTGAAAAGGTGCTAGTATTCGTGTTTCGCATCCCGGAAATCCCCCAAATATGAATTTTCGAAGTGATACAAAAACATTCGTAAATCATGAGAAATTCGATTTTTATCCTTCAATTTTATCACCCTATGTCTCGGAAACCGAGCAATTTCGGACTAAGGCAAGTTTAAATCGGCTCATTTTGAGCTCAGGAATATGTGCTGAAGAAAGACCTAAAATTAAAAAACACGTAACTCCGAAACTCACTTTTCATCAAATATTACAGGTGAGGCCGAAATTGCAACATCAGAATAATACTTTCATCGTCTCTGAAAGACGAAAGATTTGCATTGTACATGATGGATATAATTCCAGTGTTCAAATGCTTATCCTCGTTCTTACTGTGGACGGATTCTGTGCTCTTGATTGACTATTTCCGAATGCTGGAAAGGTTGAATTTTTTTATGTCTTCGGCACGAAAGGGAATCCCTATAATTTTCAGCAGACCCA